CTCATCAGTAATATAGCACGTCTATGCAGCATATTATCTCAAACGTTCTACTCACTGAAAACCGAGACTGTATGGTATAGTACATTCATTTAAAGAACATCGTAAACGAAAGGTTTATCTGGGTGACCCTTTTTTGGAAACCAAAATGCGGTGCAAAGGAGTGCCCTTGCCAAACGGTTCTTTCTATAGTACTGACTTAGTGTTTAGACCTACTTTTTTATAAGTATGATGAAACATTGAGGTTACCTATTATCATCAGAACACCCAAAAGAGGAGATATAATTCAAACTGCTGGGCAGAATATTGATCTATTTTTCAGTTTCACATCACTCTCGTTTTGAACAGTCGTCGTCCTCCTGTCTTGGCGCAGTTATTCATGTGAATCCACACCAAGGGGGGGAAGCACTGGACTTGAGTTTCGCTCTTGTTAGAGCGATGATCGAGCGTCGTATCGGGCATACTAATCACATCGCTCAAGTGCGACCACGTTCGCCCGTTCAGACCTGAGAATTCAGATGCGTCCAACGTGCGCTGGTGGAATAGCGGTAACACGTTCGCCTCGCATGTCAGTTGTTTGGAGTTCAAACCCCGGCACGGCCATTGGATATGCACTGCTGATGAGCTCTAACAAGAGCGAAACTCGAATCCAGTGCTTCTCCCCCTTTGGTGTGGATTCACATGAATATTTGCGCCAGGACAGGAGGACGACTGTTCAAAACGAGAGTGATGTGAAACTGAAAAATAGATCAATATTCTGCACCCGCTTGCATCAACTGAGCTATTTCTTGGGGTAACCTTCTTACTGGAGTTCAGTACGCCCGTGTTTGGAGCACTTCTTGCGATTCGACGAAGTGCTTCATCTGACCCTTCCGCCCATACCGCAAAGGCTTCTTGATAGGACGAATCGTGCTTGCTTTCATCCGAAGATTTCAGTTGGACAAAGTTGTATCTGCTGACAAGGACGTAAAAAAACACCGAGCTTTATTGTTCATTAAGCTGTCCGTCAATACATCCTTCGAAGTTGAGTTGAGTTCAGGCCATTTTTCGGTTTGGGATGTTTAAGATAAACCACTCGTTCACCAATGTGTACGACAATGAAACTAGAAAATTGCCATGCAACTTCCTAGAGCGTCGTTCACATCTCACTCCTATGACCGTATTATTATTTACGTAGGATGATGTGGCATACTACTCATAAGGTTGCTGAAAACCGAATTGGAATCCAAATGAGTGTATATGTCCGATGTTTAAACAAAGGCGACCTCCAATCAAGAACGAGAGACAAGTACAGAGTTACCTTTCATCAGAGAAATCTCCATCCGAACCACCGTACTACTTGTACGATTTTATAAATGAAGTTCATTTTTTAGTTATAATCATCAACTCACTTCAACAGGGGGTGAAGGTACTCCCTTTCTAAGCTTGGATAATTCGGGTGGACTCGATGAGTTGAGGAAGTGCTGGTAACGTGCTCAATACTGATGAAGCATGCTCAGCTCTGATGACCAAACTCCGCTCCCGCATCTGATGGAAGGTCAAGGTTACGGCGATGATCAAGGAACCGTTTTTAAAGTTTTCGTTCATTACTTTTTAATATCCAAAGAAAGTCTGAAAAAAGTCCATGAAGACGCTTGAGAATGCTCAGTTCACAGAAACTCTGTGCAAGGGAGATATTTACTTTGGTTTCCAATGGCTTGTAACTGTTTAGTTCGCATTAGCTGAGAAATGACTTCGCAGCGGAAACGACGAGGAACATGCGCCTCTGATCAGAACTGCTCTCCATTTCATCACGCTTCAGCCCAGCAGAATGATGTCTGATTACATTGCGATCATCGAGGACAAAGTAACCAGCTTTCGTGCAACAACCTGTAACTTTATCTGTAATGTACTATTTATAAGCTTGCTGAAAATCCGTCGACAGCCCACGACTGGTTTCGTCCTTCTTGGGGCTCATCAGGTGGGCGCAGTCCCCGGGTTTCCGTCAACCTTATATTCTACTTGAAACCAAATTGCACGAAATTGGCGAACTTACAACCTGAACTAACAACTTTGCATTCGCTCAATCTTTATTCCACATAAACTAGCGGAATTCTAACCACGGATGAAGTAACTCATTTGCTCAAAAATTTCAGTTGACTCAATTTTGGACAAATCATTTGGTCGAGAACAGGTTAAAACGGACAGAAAACGTAGGCCTCAGCCTGAGGCTCTTTATTGGCCAGGCCAGTAAAACCGTTCAAAATGCTTTGACCTTTTGAATATGGAGTTAACATCCTCTCTATCTCATGTGCTTCACGACTCATGATTTGATCCCAGACAGGTGCATACTATTCGAAAACTCATCTTTTTACAATGTCCAAATTTACAATATTGAATTTCATTCCAAATCAATGCTTTAAACTCAAGAAGATATAAACCTAAGTCTGGAACTATCACAGTTCCCCAGTTTGATTAATTGTCCTCCACGTCGTTTCGTGCGTCTAACAGCTGAAGACTGCTCCCACGATTCTCTTCCTCAGGTTATTGCAAGGTATACAACTTGGAGGTATGATTAGTTCAATCTGATGCTTCAGTGAAGTCGTATTGTCGCGTCAGGTCCCATGCCTTTGAAGTACGGGGTTTGAGGCAAAACAAAGTAGGATCTGTAGGATCCATTTGCTCAATCGATTTGCAAAGTTCAGGGAACAAACCAGCAGTCAAATTGTCCGCCAAGATTTGAACTCGTATCTATGTGTTAGTCATGTAAGCGCTGATGAGTCCCACCAATTTTTGTCACCGTACGAGGGCACGTCACCAATAAACTACCCATATTCTTGCACATTGTCGGTATATCCTGACTAGCCTTGCTGTTGAACTGAGTCGGTCGAACGCGGGGTCCCCTACCAAACTGTGCCCCCGAAAGGTGTTCCCTTGCCAGGTTGGCTTGTGTGAGCACAGTCACTTTTGTCAGGAAAACCGATTGAAGTATAAGACGGTAGGGGGTATGTGAAGTGCCACACAGAAGCCAAAAATTCATTTTATAATGATATTATACGCGAGCGACTGGCACTCAGCTGAGTTTCCATATTAAAAAAATTAGCTTACAAATGAGTGTGTTTCACAATTTGGGTTCATGCGAAACATAAGGTTGAACAAAACTCCGGAACTGCCACAAAATGGGGGAAACCGATGGTAGGCTGTCGAAGAGTTTTCTGTGAACCAATTAGTAGTATGGTTCACCAAGGAACTGTGATTCCCCTATCTCTATTCGTTCGACATTCCTCTGACTGTGCAGAAGAAAAAACACGTTCGATAAAGATGAACTGAAGAAACAAAAAACGGTGTCATGTGTCTAATACGTATGCTCCGGGCGCGTGATCGAAGCTCGAATCTCTAGGATGGACAGTTCATATTTTCTATGCAGTTAGATCAAAATTGTTTTTTTCTGCGTTTATGACTCGACTGTTGTGCATTTCGTTTTTCTAGACCGATGCCTTTTCCATTCCTCTGGGAACAAGAGTGTTGAATGTTCTATGAAAGAATTGTTTCCTTACGATGTTTCTCAACTAAACTTGTGGTATCAAGGTTATCTCGGGGTGCCGTTAGGTAAAGTACGAAGCACCGTCTTTTGTAAGCGATAGGATTGATCGATGTTAACCGAAAACCCGTTTGAAGGTATCAGGAAGGTCAGAGTCCTGAAAGCAACCTCAGAACGCCCGGAACCTACTGCTCCACCGAAAAGTCAACAAGAAAGCCGGCAAGCATCCAGGCCAGTCAATCATTCAATCAATTCAGCAAAAGCTGATGAGTGTTCTTGCACGCCACAGAAGCACGACCGAATGTGATCCGCGTTCAGGCTTTTCACAGAGACACGATCGATCTTGATGGGTTTTCACTAACGCCCATCAGGCATCCTCGACCGATATCAGAAAGTCCCCTTTTGAATAGCGTGGAGCCGTTGTAAATTTTGCTCTCGCACTCGTTTGTTCGGAATATAGCGGTTGTGTTCCTTTCTGTGAGTCTTTTTCTCCGGCATTAGGCACTGGAGCGGGTCGGCAGCAGATACCACAGATTGACGAATCAGCAGATATAACAGAAGTGTTACCTGGTTTAGGGCTCACTATGTAAAATTAGTTACCAGGATTCAGTCAGCCTTCCTGTTTTTTGTTCGGATTGTATGGAGCAAGGATTCGGATGTCGTACTCACCGATGCCGAAATCAGGTGGGCTGTCTTCCTTTATTTATTTTAACTGCGGAAGCAGACTTTGGAACGATAAACTGCAGATTTAAAAGTGTGATGGAACCAAATTTCTTTGGAAATCACGCATGTTTTGGATTTCTGGAAGACACTAGTCCTTGTGTTATCGTAAAAACATCTGCAAGATACCCAACAGTCTTTGGGTGTGGGCCCATTTGACACGTCAGGTATGAGGAATCACGTGTGCAGTTGCCGACTGGAGGTGTGACATGGTCGGACACCCATCAGTTGAATGTCCAGCAAATCACTTCCTTAACTCATTGGCGTAAAGTCTGTAAAGTTGCTTCCATCCGCGGTATCTTTCTAAATTACACAGACAATATGCCTTGGAGGCGATGAAGAGTTAGACCGTTTCTTAAGGTGTAACTGACGCACAAGAGGTCTTATAACTTTCTTGTTGTCAGATTCCATACAGAAAGAGAATCATTATCCCGTTGGGTGTAAACTAAGCAACTCACTTTCAACTACCATAGTCCGACGTAAGAACATGAAAGCTTCCTGCCTTCATCATATACTTTAAGTCTGCTGTGCTGACCGCGGGCTTTAACAAAGCGTTATTGATTTTTTTAGATTCAAATTTGAGCGTCTCTGTGCCCAAGTCTTGGGCAAATCCCCATGCTTGCCTAGTTTTCAGAACTCCAAGAAGAGATAAGGATGAACTAGCTCTAAAGAATTAGGTCGGAAAAATGAGCCTACTCTTGTTGATATTTGCCTGGAACCAGAGGTAAACTGATTTGTTCTCTAACTACCTCACTCCTCGCAGTTGTCCGGAGAGACAGCCTAAAAGGACGCCGCGGACGGTTGTCATCAAAAGCTCGTTGTCAATTGAATGAACACACATACGGGAGCAACTATCCCGGACATCTATCAGACCTATATCTTTCTTCGGGAACTCACAACTCGATGAGGAAGACCATGGCTCCAGTGAATCACACCTCATCCATTGCACGACGCTTTGGAGACTCGCTCTCGGGATCTGGTACAAACAACCACCGTATCAGTAGTTCATCGACTTCGGTCAATTCGACGGTCACTCTGCTATCCATGTTGACAAAGGCCTATGAGATGGTTGGTCCATTGCCTTCCACCCTGGACCACGAGACAGTCAATTTTACAACACTTGATGATGAATCTGTTCAGGGAGATGCAGATCATCATGGGAAAAGCCTGACCATGGATACGTGCGAGGTTAGTGTCAAATAGTGCTTTTTTTATGAAAATTGTTCAAAAACAGCTGCTTCTGTACGGAAAACCTCCATTTGTCCAAAATCTAATGTTGGTCTCTACGTGTTCGGGGGTGGGGGAGTAAGCCTATTGGCGGTTGTACACCAAGTGTTTGACGTAATCAAGCGTGCTGACAGCATTCGCTAACGCAAGTCATCATAATGAGATAAAATAGGGCATTCTCTTCATCAGTGCATGGTTGTCTTCCGTTGCTGTTCTCCGAACACGGTTGACCGGCTCCACCCTGCTGTGTGTGCGCGATGACGCTGCCCTAATGGCGCCGCCACAAATGACCAAAAGCCAGGAACCACATGTTCTTGAGGTTCATGCCCAAACGCGAGCAAGCAAGATGATCGGCGAGGTGAAAAGGTGACACAGTTGTTGTTCCACAAACCGTACGGAGAAAACACAGCAAAACACATGTTTTGACTGTCCATTGCTGCCCAGATCTCACGGTTTGTCTGGTCTGAACTGGAGTCAGCCTAGTCAACCCTGATGAGTATGGGGTTTTTTTTGTTGCAAAATCCTGGCAGATTCCTTTCCCACACTCAGAAAACCGAGTGCACTCTGGAGACGACGAACGGTGGCAGACATTTCGAGACAATGCTGTAATTTAGGTCGGTAGAGCAAGTCTTCTGGACAGGACTAATAGCACCCAATACGGAACCTGAAAACGTATTTGTTCAATCCGAAAATGGACTGTGTGGACTGCCAAAAAAATTGGCAAAAACGAGGAAAGAGGGCAATGGCTAATCGTGTTCAAAGTAAGACAAACACTGTTGGTCAATGTGGCAGATCCTTTCCCACACTCAGAAAACCGAGTGCACTCTGGAGACGACGAACGGTGGCAGACATTTCGAGACAATGCTGTAATTTAGGTCGGTAGAGCAAGTCTTCTGGACAGGACTAATAGCACCCAATACGGAACCTGAAAACGTATTTGTTCAATCCGAAAATGGACTGTGTGGACTGCCAAAAAAATTGGCAAAAACGAGGAAAGAGGGCAATGGCTAATCGTGTTCAAAGTAAGACAAACACTGTTGGTCAATGTCCACAACCATTTGTGCTTCAAAGTAGCGAGCACTATATGAGTAGGAGTGTAGGTGAGAACAGCCAATTAAAGTCGCTCTACCGAGGTTAAGGTCGAAGACATAATCAGATGTACATTAATCTATCCTTATTAAAATCAGGTTTTGAAAGGAAGAGTATCAAGATGACTCGGCCATTGGTCACAAAACAAAACTGCATGCTTCATATCACCAGTGAACTTGGGGTAGAGAAGCTGCCTGAGGACCACTTATATGCGTAGAAGTGCAATCAAGCTTTAAAAGTAACACCAAGTGAGTTGAATTGTGTAAATTTAAACGGTGAATGGAAGCAGGGCATAGTGACCTGGGAAACGCTTGCCATGAATGCAGCAATCGTGGAACATTGTAATGTGATCGATTTCGGACTAAGTCCGAAGCAGTTCAGGAATGCATTGGAACAGTTTTATCTCTCCAGTAGTTCAGAAATGCAGTTAGAATACAGATATTGGCACAGGTATACACCTTACACGAGCTCGTCTTTACTAAATTACCAATAGTAGGAAAATGGGTTTTTATGGTGTTTACAAGAGGAGGAGGTTAGTCACGTGATTATAGCATACATTCGGGATTACATCGAGTAACTTTTGAACACAGTGTAGGTTTGAATAAATTCATCGTAGCTGCCTTGCGGAAGATGACGACAAGTGAGTTCTAATGGCCTGAAGGTACTAGCAACAGATCTTTCTCAGATAACCCCCGCCACCCAAAAAAGATTTGAAGATATGAAGATTTGAAGATTTGAGGATATGAAATTTGTACTCTTAGTTTTTATTGAAGAGGGTGAAGTTGAGACATGCCATTAATAATTTACACGAAAAAAATCATTTTGGGTACCTTTGCCTCCAAACGAACTCACACAAGTAGCTGTCCACTAAAGATCGGTGTGTGACGCATTGGCGTCTATTCTGCATCTTGTAGACGTGCAAAGAGGTTCGATGGTTTGTGTGTGAGCTCCAGTCGTTGAATCCACAAAGTTTTCGGTATGATTAACCGTTTTATGAGTATAATTCAGGTCAATAATCGTCTTAGTTCCTCGGTATGATGCCCACATATTGGAGATGATGATTGAGCCGGGAGCGATGCAGTGCTGGATTGTGTCCATCAAAGTGACCGCAGTTCCATCTGGCACTGCATAAATGAATACCTCTTTAGTTTCCCGGCAGACCCCTCTGAAAATCCACTGCTGGGGAAGGACTCACCCTGCTGGGGTTTACGGCGAATTATTAGCGTTNAAGCCACCAGGCGCAAACTTCGTGAAAAAAGTTGTTCCAGTCAACAGCGGTCGTGTGGCTAACAGATAATTCCTCTAAGCAGAATCCTCACGGTCCCAAACTCCATCTTAGACGCTCCAGCCAAGTTCTCTTTCGAAGACCGATTTCTTGCCGACACTGCCGGGCATTACACCTCCACCTGTCAGAGACAGTTGAAAGTGTCACTTGGTGGCCACTGTTGCATAAACGTTGCAACACTCACTCCGTGGCTTTGCAAAGTACGCATTGTCGTCTCCCTGTCATGAACGAGAGTTGAAAGCGTCAGAAAGTTCCTTTGAGGTTTTACGTCCAAACCGAGGAATGTTTGCACAAAATGAACCTAGATACGGACAAGGAATTGTTTTCGTCAAAAATAGGTCAAGGTTGTGTGTGTGTGTACGTTAAATTGGAGCACCAGGCACCAGGCGCTGGACGGAGTCAGCAGTCAGATACTACGGATTGTCGAATTAGCATGTATAGAAAGATACAGCGCTAATTGCACTGTTCAAGTTGCCAGTTAATCACATTGGTGATCAGTCACTCAGGGCCGAACGGCCTTCAAACCACTAGCTTCATAGTCACCATGGAGACGAAACAGCTATACAGTGCCCCGTGGCTTCTCAGTGCAGATTGTCTCCACCAGCAGGACGAAATCATCATTGAAACTTCCCAGATTTTCTCATACCATCATCAGACGTTGTATTGAAAGCTTGGAGATCAGGTGCTGTGTCGAAACCGCAGGAAGATCATCGATATTATATTCAGGTTTCGACTGGGAAGTTTCAGGTTTCGACTGAGAAGTTTTCCGCATCCGCTCCTTTGCCGGTTAGAATTTCCCTTTAGAAAGACTGCTCGAGGCATCGTTTGCATCCAATAAAGAGCATTTCATCAATGAACAACATTTAGAATTAGCGAAATACACTCATTTGCAAACAAATTTGGTCTTGCTAGAGACTCACCTGGAACCCAGCTGAATCTCTCGTTTGTGATGTTTCCAGGCAACTGAATGTGGTGCACCAGGCCGTCTCATGTTTCAGTCACTACGATCTTCGAGATATCGCGGTACACGTAAGTTCGTAATGCACTACTCATAAGGTTGCTGAAAACCCCTCGACAGCCCACGACCGATTTAGTCCTTCTTAGGGCTCATCAGGTAGGTGCCGTCTACGAGTTTCCGTCAACCTTATGTTCTACTTGAAACCAAATTGCACAAAATTAGCGAAATGCACTCATCTGGAAACAAATTTGGTTCAGAATTAGCCACTCGTTGCCACATTGTCAAAACGGCCTCTTCAGGGGAGTCATGCGTAGGCGCTTGGAGCTCCAACCTTTTGCTGACTCATTTCCACGAATACAGCGGTTCAGTCATGTGACTATGGACCTCGACAATAAAATTAAAATGAGGAAAACTCAGACCAGTCCGCGCACAGTTCGGTCCTCCTACGCATCATCTTCATCACTAGCTCATATCGTTCCGTAAAGATTCTTCATTCATACCTGGGGTTATTTAAAGAACTGTCTGCTCATCTGTCATGATAAAATAGATGTTTATCCCTTCAACGCCAATTAGATGCCCCGCTTACTTTCAGCTACAACGAACAAACCAATACGGTCACTCCTACAACCCACGATACGCCAAACATGAAGAAATCACGTGATCAAAATTGCCTTTTGAGCTGCGGGCGTCTAACTGCCTAATCAATGCCAGTGCGTGTGTGCATCCCGCATAACTAGAATCTGGCTATTCATCAACAGCTGAGTGAAGCCAGCTTCCACACTTGGGAGGAATTTCCAAGCGTTCTATATAAAGGGAAATGTTGGTAGCTCAAGTAGCGTAGATGGTCGTTGGCTTGTTCGCTGAGCTGGACAATTTGATTGCCCAGCTTGATTGACTGATTGATTTGATCTGATTTCCCAGCTGTTTAAACTGGTCATCATTGGGCATGGTTCTGCGGAAAATAACAAGGAATTATTAACTAAACTTTTACCTCTCCAACACCACCCACCAACTTAATGAGTCCCATTAAAACTGTGCTCTGTTGGTCTTCCTTGTTTCCTTGATACCTCGTTCCCATTTTCGAAAGAAAGTAAGCGTTTGGAGTCACGTAACTTTTGTCCGCACCTCTAAAAGTAAAGCGCCCGGAACTGTGGCCAAGCAAGCGTCTTACTTTCCATAGTGGAGAACAGATAAAGTAAAAGTAACACGTAAAATATTTTTAGAAAAATCGTTCAGCTGTAACACCATTCACTTGCTTAGCTGTCATACCGAAGCATGAGGGTTGGGACACTGCCAGGTTGTCCAAGCTTAGACTGAGGAAGTCGAGAGGCAGCGGTCGGGTTCGAACCACGGAACTTCTGGTCAGTAAATTCGCTCTCTAACCACTGAGCCTTCAAGTGACACATTACTGTGTCCGTTCCCTTCCCGGCAGGCACCTAACTATTCTTTATTTATGATTTTTCTGTAAGAAAAAGTGCTTCCCCTTCCTTCTCCCTCAGATGAGTTTTCTACATTCAGTTGATAAACACCGAGGAGAGACTCACTGACGAGTATTCATTCGTTTGTTTATCCAAACTGCCTGAAGGTCTTCCAACTTACTTATCTATCATACCGTGTTACAATACCGTGTATTGTTAGAAATTCACAGATAGCAGGCACTACAGCGATATTTTCCGTTTTTCCTACAGTCTCAGGCCACATTCCATAGAATCACAAGGTCATCGATCCGACAGCTCCTCAGTCCTTCGAAGCGACCATGTGCGCATGGGATGGTGTTCTGGCAAGTGAAATCGAGCGTGGCTTATTTGTCTTGGACATTGTGCGTATTCATTCCTAATGATCGGAAACGACGCAAATAAGGCTTACCACCCACGGTGGCGTAATCACCTCTCAACTTGCCCGCCCCCCCACACACACTTCATCATCATCAGCCTGCTTACTTACCTTGGCCAAACAGAACGATCATACGCGCATCAATCGCTCGCTAACCACACAGTTTCCATGTGGACTGTGTTGTGTGTATGTCTAATAAATGTGTTACAGCACTATGCCCGGGATAAGGGTCATGGGCTCGCCTTGTGTTTTTGGTGCGCGCCCCGTCTGGTTGCATGCCGGTACCCGTTTAGCTGACACCTGCCTGCAAAAGGCGGTAAAGTTGCTGGCTTTCTTTTTCTGCGAGAGTTGTAAAAGGAGACAAAAACTGTTTTGATAGCGCACTAATCATACGAATGGGACGTTGACTGGATTGAATCACCCTCATTTTGATTCACCCCTTAGATTTCCCTGGAAGTTATAAGACCCTAAGCTTCCATTTTCATAAAGGAAACTACTCACAAGGTTGCTGAAAACTCTTCGAAAGCCCACGACCGGTTTTGCCCCTCCACTTCGAGCTCATTAGGTAGGTGCATCGCAGTCCCCGAGTTTCCGTCAACCTTATGTTCTACTTGAACCCAAATTGATTTGCAAATGAGCGTATTACCCTAAGATTCTCTTCGATGGCGTCCGGAAAAAGGCTTGTTTCTAGGGGGTGAATGAATTACTGACGAACGTTTTGCCACGGATCTATACCGGTGCCGTTAGAATACCTGCTTTGAGGATTTTAATGAACAAAAATGAAGACTGTAACTACTCATTAGGTTCTATCGCGATGTATTGAACGTCGTGCCAACTAAAGCACGAGGCAGCCTGGTGCAGTACATTCGTTTGCTTGAAAACATCGTAAACAAGCGATTCATATGTGTTCCAGGTGAGTCCCCTGAAAAACCAAATTTGTTTGCTAGTTTCGTGCAATTTGGTTTCAAGTAAAACATAAGGTTGACGGAAACTCGGGGACTCAGCTGCGCCTACCCGATGAGCCCCAAGAAGGGCGAAACCGGTCGTGAGCTGTCGAGGAGTTTTCAGCAACCTTATTTATGAGTAGTGCATTACAAATACACATTTATCATATCTCGATTATCATGAGGATTAACATGAGGCGGCCTGGTGCACCACATTTAGTTGCCTGAGAACATCACAAACAAGCGATTCAGCTGGGTTCCAGGTGAGTCTCTCGCAAGACCAAATTTGTTTGCAAATGAGTGTATTCGACTGAAGACGGTGACTACTTTTGGTTCAGCGGAAGTTGATGTGTACGCGGTGAATTCTGTTCAAGAGGGTTCATCTCAAGGAACGAAGTACTTGAGTCTGATCGGAATAATCTGTTTCTGAAACATTTTCTTTTTATATTTGGCTTTAACATGTTAGTTTTTGATGAGTAATACCGCACTGTCCTGGCCATTTGAAAGTCTCTCCGTAGAACGATGTGGACGACGAAGATCCGTCGTACGTTGCCCAGTAGCTTGTTTTTTAGGGGAAAGTTTACAGGATTTCATCTATTTCATCTAGTTCATCTATTCACGATGGCCTTCAACTAAATGGGCTGCATACACGCCCCTTCATTTTTCAGTCAGTACGATAAAAGAGATACTGCGGTATAGTTTCGTCAAGAAAACTACTAGTAGTTTCTTTCAAAACGGGTCCGTGCACCATACATTTTGGCTCCCTTGTGTCACTGCGAAATTGAAGTCAGATACGGGATGGTTTCAACGATCTTGTTCAAACTTTGGCTGATCGAGAGCTTCGTATACGCAGGAAAACAGGACAGAACTATTGGAATTTTCCGACACTGGTCATCCTATGGTTTGACTGTCTTTGAAGCTGGGACAGATATTCACCGGTTGTACCAACCGTAATCCACAGGGACGCAGTACTGCACTCATATGCTTACCAAATTTGGCCTTGATCTGATCCCAAGCCGAATTCTTCGCTCATCATATTTTCCAGCTGGAGTTCGTTTGAGTCTTCATGTGCACACTAGTGTAGTTCTTTGAATTTCGTGCTATTTGGGTTCAGGTAGAGTTGACGAAAACTCGGGAACATTGCTCACTTGATGCCCCGAAATGGAAGGGTGAACTCGGTCATTGGTTGTCAAGGGGCTTTCGGCAACCTTGTGAGTAGTCTTGCTTCAGGAGTACACAGTTATACTTGCCGCTCATTTCATGCTTTGGAAAGTTTTGTAAGTTACAAAGTATATGTTTGTTGAAAGATCGAAGCGAGTTTCGAATTTTCCGCCCTCATATCATGCTTAGGAAGCGCTCTAATGTACCTTATGCATAACAGATTCTCACCAGGTTGAAGAAATGCTCGGAATGCGTAAAATACTTCTGCCGCGCTTGGTATGAAAGCCCAAATCTTTGCTCTTCCAAGTTTGATTTAACAAACAGGTTATCTCGGAAATATCAGTAATGAAAATTTGTTGACGATGTTCCTGAGGGAGAGCATGTCGGTTGTGATGACTCTTACGAGGATGACGATGATATCGAGGACGCAGAGGAGGGGGTGAGACTGCAGGTCAGAAGGAGAAATGAAGTATGACGGATGTTACTCTTGGTGCCCACATCATCGGTTTTCATTCAAACAAAATTCACCATCCGTTGGTTTTGAATGCAGTCACTAGCACGACTTACATGAATTTCCTTTCGTTTTTTTCGTTGTCAACAGATGTCCTGTAACCGATCGGAAAATGCATCCCTGGTGCGGTTATGCAATGCGCTTCAGCAGTCACTGCACGAACTTCGTCGCTACGCCGAACTCGTCCCGGGATTTTCATCGCTTACGGCTAATGATCGAGAAGTCTTGCTCAAGATGCACTCACTGGATTTGCTCAGCCTGCGCTTGGCACTGAGGTGAGTAAACTGTCCAATGGGGTGTTGTGTAATCTAACCAATAAGATTGATTTTTACGAGTTTCTGAACACTCATGTAATGGTATAAGTGAAATTTCGCTCCACAGATCAAATCAACCGGTAAA